TATATGCCTCACTTATCTGTATGTCAAGTTCTTTTCCCCTGCTTGGGAAGTTTTCTGCCATCACTTCTGTGAACAGTTTTTTTATGTCATCTTCACTCTCTCCTGTTTCTTCATTGACTCCGATCAGTCCTATGTTATTCTTTTTTGCACTGTCTAGCAGCTGCTGGATTGCTTTCTCATGGTCCCTTACAATTTTAAGGAAATTTTTCTTTTCCTGGTCACTAATTGCAATCTTATCTTCTATTTCTGAAATTCTGTCCTCACATTGGCTCATTCTGCTATGCAAATGTTCAATGGAGTTTTTAATCTCCTGGAAATCTATTTGCATCTGTTTTATGGATTCCATTTGTTTCCTATGTTGGGATTCCATCATGCTCCTCAGCTCCTCTACTTTTTATCTGTGTCCACTCTAGATTTATTAATCATGCCTTGCACTATGGGCACAATGTCTGTTGTTATCTGAGAAATTATTTCTGATTTCATTTTTTCAGGTCCTCCTTCATTGCCAGTTCAGGGAGTCCAGGTGGTTGAGTATCACTGTTCCTTCTCCTTTCCCTTTGGGGTTGCTTTCGGTGATCTGGTTTTGAGACTTGTTTATGTGTCTTCTCATTTCAACAGATGCAGCCTGCTGTGTCTTTGTTAAATCAACTTTATGCTCACTCAGTGGTCTTTAATTCTCAGCAAGCCACAGAGCTGCCTTTTCTCTGCTGCTCACCAGTACACCAATTCCTGGGTTCAGAATGGTGGCCTTCTGGATCTCTGAGCTGACCTGTTGTCTGGGTGGGCTTCTGGCTGGGGCCTGTGCACACTTGCGATGGTATCTAGATGTGCCACTGGCTAGGGCCCCTATGTAGCTATCGTCTGGGAGAGCCTTTGCCTGGGGGCTGTGCACCTCAGTTCCTGTTGTGAGAACAAGCTTCTGGCTAGGGTCTTGTGCACTTACTGATGGTATTGGGGCCAACCTCTGGCTGTTGCTTGTGTGCCTGTGCAGCTCTTTTCCAGGCAGGCCCTTGGCTTGGGCCAGTGTGCTCCCACCTCTGGGGTCAGGGTAGAGCCCTGGCTGGGATCTGCTTGCAACCATGCTGCTCTGTTCCATAGCTCTGATCCCCCAACTAAGGTGGTCTGGTGTGCCTTTATTGCAGAGATTTTCTTTACTTTTCCAGTAGGCTTCAATTTTCATCAAGGAGCCTCAGAGAGACTCTCTTTCTGTTGTTCACTTCTGCTCTATCTTCTACAGCTCAGAACAATGTCCTTTATGACCCCTGCAACTCTGCAGTGTGGATCCAGGTAATATAGCCCCTTTTCTTAAAAGATTTCAGAACTCTCAAGACTAAAGGACTGCTGGGCTGGGGATTTAGCTCAGTGATTCCATTGCCTGCCCCACAAGTGCAAGGTTCCAAGTTCGATCCCCAGTACCAAAAAAAAAAAAAAAAGAGTAAAGGACTGACTAAATTTTTTGGTATCTTTCAAAAGAAAATAACCACATTTAGAAATTTGGGGGAATTTCTTGTAGTCAGGAAATGAGCAAGGCAATAAGACTTGATAGTGATTATTTATTAATTCAAGTAAGTGTGAAAAAGAAAATGCTGGACATCACTTCTTTTGCGGGAAAAAACAGAGTGAGGACAAAACCAAAGCAATAGGAAAGGGAAACAACATCTTGTGTGTGGTTCCAGAGATTTTTTTCTCTGAGGGAGTGGACACTAAAAGTGCAAAGCCAAGTTTATAGAACAGCAGCATGCCCTCTGCACAAAGGCTGAAGTCTTGTCTCAGGGATACCTTGAAAAATGAACCATCCTAATACAAGCAAAGATACAACATCACTTTAAGTATAGGTTTCAATTTTGGTTTCAGAATTACATATTTTTTAAATCATGAAAGGTGGGAGATCACTCTTTGAGAATAGAGCCATACTTGAGTACGTAAATGAAACAAATGCCTATTTATTCTGTTTCAAAGTTGCTTTGATGTGTTGTGATAAATTCTATGGATAGAATACAAATCCTCACAAGTCTTGAAATGTAATTCAGAGCCTTCTCCTCTCACCTCTGCTAATTCATGAGATCCGGCTCCCAGGGCAGAGACTGTTCACTTTCTGGAAGCCTTGCTGTGAGAACAGGAAACAATCATGTTCAGTTGTCACAGCCCCTGTGGAGCAGATGGGCCACCTTGAACCTGGAGTCACTGCTGCATGCACGCTTGCTCAGCTTTATGAATGAACACGCTGTCTAAAAGGCATCCTAATCTGCTAATTATTGGTAAATCACTTTGCATCCACTCTCTTCCAAATTTAGGTTTCAAAGCAATTCTGTAGCCACTGAAATTCTGCAGCTCACCCTGCAGTTATACATTTTTTCACCTTCAAAGAATACAAGGAGTGGTTCAGCCTACATTTTAAATATGAAGATTTAATATGATTTAAATGTGTGAAGTGAGGAAATAAAAATAACTACGGGTTATTTAAAACCTACATACCTTCAAAGCATATAAATTTTAGCAAGCGGTATGTAGCCTTTGTGAAAAGACAGCCTTTGCCTATCTTCTTCATTGAAATAGTCCCAATGCATACACTGCGTCTGGTGTATGGTGTGCACTCAATAAGTGAATAAGTAAGTATAACATACACAAATGGCTTCTTAAGAGATGCATCTCAATCATTTTCCATTCGTGTTAACCATAGTATTTTTAAAATAAAGGAATTAATCTGTCTGCTGGAACAGTGCAGGGTGAACTCCAACTTCTACCCAGCCTCTGCACCTGTCCCAGTCCCACCTGTCAGGTGCTGTCACACCTGAGCTGAAGACCGGGGTCCTCCCCCTCAGCTCACAGCCCGCTCGCCTTGGAGCTTATGCTGAGCCCAAGGGTGGCATTTAAGTTTTGTCCTTAAGGTAAATAGGGGATTAAGATACAGGAGACCAAGTTCTCTTGAGGCCTTGGTTGTCGACAATGTGAACTCTGAGGTAAGATTTGCCAAGACTGACAGAGAGGGCTGGGTTTGCTGTTATCAGACTTATTAGCCTTCCTGTGTGTGGAGGGGTGATGGAATCGCACCTATGCGAATCAAAACCCATACTGCTTTCCACCCGACACTGCACTAGGTGCTGGGAGAATGTTTACCAGCAGGCACCTGCAAGCCCTGCAGAACGGAAAGTCCTCCCGGCCCCAGGACCTGAGGAGGTCCACAGCCTGCTGCTCCGCCGACTCCCTGGGCTCCTCGCGCACCTTGCTCTGGGCTCATCGCCCATACAGAGAGCACGCCTAGGCCTCACAGCCAGCCTGCCGGCTGAGTCCCCAACCTGGCTGTCCTGCTGTCCTCCCGTTTCCAGCACCGCAGCCGGCACCGCCCTCCTGGTGTCCAGGCCACTTTCCCACCGCACAACCTGGGCCCCGGGACCTGACTGCCGACAGAGTCCCTACACGGAGGCGTTCGCGGCCCTGCTCGGCAGAGAGGGCTGTCGCCAGGGCCACAGAGGGTAAAAAATGAGCTTATAAAAGTGGGCCGGAGCACATTTTTTTCCTTGTGACTCAAAGAACTCCTGCACGACAGTTTGAGCCTGGGCCACCACTGGTCTTCAGAATGCACACGAAGCATGGCTATTTGTCCCTGAAGGCCACTGGCTGGCAGAGCCCGGGAGCAAATGGTTAGCAAGTGTGTGGGTCGGGAGGCTTCGGTGGCAAGGACTGACCTGTGGGAAGGTGCACGACACCATCCTGTTCTCGCGGCCTCCGCAGGGACGTCAGGGGCTGGCATTGAGCACGTTAAAGCCGGGCGACCTGCACAATTAAGGGGCGAGTAAAGTCCTCCCCAGCTATTCCGCCGCAAGCACTGGGTACGACGCCCTCTTTGTGCGGGCTGGGAAGAGCAGGGGCCTGAGAAAAAAGGGAGCACAGGAAGCCGCAATAACATGCTGGTTCTGACCACCTGGGCACCAAGGCGCAGTAATTAGGAGGCGGCTGACCCTGTGTGGGCTGGGAAAGCCAGCAAGGAGACTTAAGTTAAGCTAGCGTACATCAAAAATAATTGACAATGGTTAGGCTTCATCGTGGAGAAGCCTGCACTGGCACTGCAGCCCCCAGCCCACCACCCACCTAAGAATTATTATTTGAAAAGGATGTCAGAGGATTATGGAAGATCCTTGTGTCGGCTCCAATTAGGATCAACACTGCTGTAGCTGGCAGGCTGACGGTGCAGTGTGCAACGATGAATGCATAGTGTCCCCTGCTGGACATGCGTGGGACCGCAGTCTTGTCCTCCAGCCAGATCTGACCTGCAGAAAGCGGGCGCCCTTCCCTTCATTGATATGCACCCAGCCTAAGGGGTTGTGTGTGTGTATTTTAAAGAAGCCCCGATATCATAATGCCAACATCAATAACCATTAATTTTAAAGGTTACTTCAAAATACGGCATGAATGCAAGACAAACCTTCTAATCTATAGCTTTGTATTTTCTGTACAGCCAGTCTTGGTTCAAATTGTGAGCAACAGCCATTTACCAAATTCGGGTCCTTCATGCTCCCTAGACTCCTTCCTGGGTAGCCCTCAAAAACCCTACTTTTAAAGAAAATTAAAATCTGGAAAATTCCCTGCGGCTTTAAGTAATTATTTTGTTTGCACTCTGGATGTTAATTATCCCAGGGTTTGAGTCTTGGAGACCATTTCCTTTGAAGCTACTTTCCGAATGAATAAGGCTCCAAATACAGTATTTCTATACTAGAATATTCCTGGAAAACTCTGCTTCCTAAAAATTATTACAAAAAACGTTCAGGCAAAATGTCTTTTCCAGGATATTTGGGAGTACCCAAGTTTCCAGTGACGTGGTTAGAGGAAAAAGAACGGTTAACTTACAGAATGCGTGATTGGTTGGAGAAGGCATTAAAATGACATAAGTATTATTAGAATTCTTGCTGTGTGGTGGGAGAAAGGAAGGATTTCTTGGTACAAGCTCACAGAAGAATTATGTAGTGTCAGCGAGTCAGTGTGAGCTTTAACACTGAGGTCATGGCCCCAGCTGCCCCTCCAGTGCCTGCTCGTGAGGTTCAGTGCTTGGCCCACACCCAAGGCCCCTCCGCATTTAGCCTGGCTCCTTGAATGGTTGCCACCATCCCTCGGCTCTACCAGCTGCTCTGAAAATGCCCTCTATCAGCCAAACACAAAACCTGGGAGCTCCAATGTCCTCCATGTAAAGGAAATTTGAAGAGTACACTGCATTTACAATAGTTGGGTGGCCATCTTAAGATGACACCTTCAAAAGAAACAAAAGGTAAACTAACTCCTTAAAACTGAACAGGTAAACCAAATGTCATGATTTTGTATTTATGGTGAAAAATAGTGAGCCGTCACACCCAGTTGTGGCACACAAGCCCTATGGAAGCAGGAACCTTATCTTTTACCTCTTATGGAATCCTCAAAAGCATTGCCAAGCACAATGTTTCATCTATAACCGTAATTTATGAATATATTTAATTTACAAGCTCTATATTCTAAAAATAATATTACCTAGTTTGAATCCTGACTTTGTCATTTTCCAAAAATATTACCATAGGCAAATTACACCCTTAATCTCTCTAAACCCTGATTTTTTCAACAAATGAGGTCAATTACACCTCCTATCCAAAAAAATAAGATTAAATTCACAGGTACTTGGGCTGGGGATGTAGCTCAGTGGTGCTGTGCCTGCCCAACAAGGGCAATGTCCTGAGTTTGATCCCCAGTACAAAAAAAAAAAAAGAACTAAATGTACAGGTACTTTATACATTTTTTTAAAAATGTAACACAAATTGCACTATAAATAATACTGTATATATATAAAGTCTGGAGTAAATTTATCTTCTCTTAGCATAAAGAAATATCCTGAGGAAAGGGAAGAATTAGAAACATGGGTTCATAAATGTGGCAGAATTGGAACCAAAAATTAATACATGGAGTTAAATGAGAAAAAAGAGTGATAGCATTAGAAGAAAAAACAAATTTCAAAGGGGTCACATAGATTATTATTAACCAGAAACAAGGACACACTAGGAGTAAGGAAGGAGATATAAATAACCCTTTTTACAGGAAAAGAAAAATAGAAACTAGCTTGATTTCCCAGAAATAATGCTGTCAGAAGGGAAGAAAGAAAAAGTGCTATCAAAAAGGAAATAGAAATAGGAATCCTTAATGAAAATGCAGAGTCATGGTGGCAGCCATTTTAAAAATTCCCTCTCCACAACATTTGCACTTCATGTTTGTCAAGAAATAACAAAAATTTAGCAGTGACATACAGAAAGATATTCCAAGCCAAATTAATCATTTTGGACAACCAGAAATGACTAATTTCATTTTAAAGAAAACAGGCTTAAAGTTAAAGGTAAATATTTTCGTAAACCTATCTAGGTTGTCATGTGGTTTCATACAGAGTTCATTTGCAGAGATGGATGTAGAATTTGAAAAGAAAAAAGGTCTTCAGGAGAAAACACAGAGTGAGAAGGCACTTTCTAAATGCTGGAGGTAAATGGTTGAGGTAATACAGTAAGGCGCAGCACATTCTGAGTTCTAGAAGCTTTTAGGGTGCTCCTCCTACAGAACCTCCAGTAGACTTTCCAGTATGCTGACAGGATGTGATCATCTTTGTCAACCAAAGCCTTACCTGAGCAAATCAGGCCGTCAGATCTCAACACAGTTCCATGGTTCAGCCTTTAAAACACTTTTTCCATTGCTTGACATGTTTTAAAGGAAATTTAATTTATATTCAGATATTACCCAAAAGGTTGAAATGTTCATGTTTCCTACACAATGGCCCTCACCTATGGATAGAACCCATCTCCAATTATTTAAAAAACAATACTCCCTGTACTACAGAAATATAAATGCCCAAGAAATTTTTTCTCAGATAAAATATTCAGTGGCAGACACCATACAGGTGCCTAGGCCGTCGAAGTTATATTTATAGGGTAATCTTTTGACTGACAGCTGAATAAAGTATGAGAGGGTATGAAAGACACATGAAAATTTTAATTATAATTTTCACTTTTTAAGCTACTCTACAAATCAGAATCATAAAAGTTGTGAGATCCATCAAAAAGAATGGTATGATCATGACAGGAAAAAATCAATAGAACAAAATAATTCAGGAGCTTTAAGGCTGAACCCAGGCAATTTTCCAATATCATTCTTGAGGCTCAACCTAAATTATCTACACTTCACCTGCACAGGGGTAGTGAAGCGCTGCTGGCCGCCTTCACTTTTACTTCTCCTTCACTGTCATATTAACACATTGGCAAAACCCAGTCATGACTGAAGTAACTTCTTTGATCAGGGCTTTGGGAGAAGCAGGGCAGAATTGTTTGGGAAAAATGTAAGGTATGCACCACAATTACACAAAATTGATGGTCAAATCATTCCAATGAAGAGAAAATCCCTCCTTCCATTTTCACCAGTCATCCCATTCACATGAAAGTCCTGACACCATACTCAGTAGGGAAAATGAGACAGAGTGGTCTGCTTTAAAAAGAGAGGATGAACTATACAGATTGTCCTACTGGAGCATTCTTTATAAAACGCTAGTCTGAAACAAACACACCCTCACACACGTTCACATATATATGTAAAATGTATGCAGGATGCACAGTAACATATATTCTTGTACATACTTATATCCAGAGAGAGAGAGAGAGAGAGAGAGAGAGAGCACCATGGTTACTTTATCATCTAACAATTTCAATTTTATATTCTGTAGACCTCAGAGTTCTAACTTCCACAACCTGGGGTCCAAGTGACTCCTGCCTCTTGCCTAGACCCTCCAAGAATTTCCTGCTGTGACCCCCTGCTTGAACCCAAACCCTGCTCCAGCTCTGACCAATAATTCTCCACAAAGCAGCCAGAGAGGGTCCTTCCCAGTGCTGGCCTGGAGATCTGATGGAGTCACCTGCCTTCCTCACACCTTTTGATGGCTTCCTTCAGGTCCTACACAAAGACAGATGCCCAGCATGGCCTGTGAAGACCGACATCAGATGCTTTCCATAGAACTCCTGGCCTCTGCCCTGACTCTGCCCCACTTAAATTGGCTGTAATTCCTTGTGTCCTCACTCCTGTTTCCATTGCTTGCTGGTCTTCATTAAGCATCTTCTTCCAGACCTCTGACTATTTCATTTCCCTTACTTACAGCCCTGCCTCTTTCACAGGGCTCTTCTCATGGTTGCAACCACACATCCTTTTGATGAATATGTGCTGGTTGTGTGTGTGTGTGAGTGTGCACGTGGACACTAGGGACAGAACCCAGGGCTTTGTGCATGATGAGCCACACTTCACAGAGCTACATTGCCAAGGTTATCTTCCCCTTTTGATGATGAGTTATAAGAGGGCAGTCATCGAGGTTGGCTCTGTTCTGTTACACCCCCAGGACTCGGCAAAGGTATCTCTTGTAAACACAGAAAATGTTTACTCTTATGGTTTGGATCTTAAACATCCCTCAAAAGCTCATGCTTTGAAAGCTTGGTCCAGCTGATAGTGCAATTGGGAGGTGACAGAAACTTCAGGAGGTGGGTCTACTTGGAAGAGTAGGTCGTTGGAAGCCCGTCCCTTAGGGTCTTCTGGGGCCCTGGCCCCTTCTCTCTTGTTCCACTTCCCTTGAAGCACGGGGTGAGCAGATAGGGGCACCCTGTGCTCCTTTGCCACGATGCTCACCACAGGCCCAGCAGCAGTGACACTGGCTGGCCATGGACTGAAATCTCTGAAACCGTGAACCAAAATAAATCCTTCCTTTTTAAAAATAGTTTATTTCAGGTATTTTATCACAG